CTTAGACTAAAGTGCCCCATTTTTTAAAATTATTTTATGTGTATGAATGTATTGCCTGCATGTATATAAGTGCACCCATGTCATGCAGTGCCCATGGAGATCAGAAGAGGGCATTAGCTCTCCTGGAACTGGAGTTGTAGATAGTTGTTAGCTGCCATGTACGTGCTGGGAATCAAACCTGGGTCCTCTGTAAGAGCAACCAGTGCTCTTAACTGCTGAGCCATCTTTCCAGCCTCCCAATCTGCTATCTTTTTGATACAGCATTCAAACTTTCTAGACTTTTTTTTTCTTGCTAATTAATTCTTGCTAATACTAAATAATTCTTAATGTGGGATTCACACATAAGTTTTTGAATCCCCTGAAAATTAGTGAACTTTACACAGACATACACACACATTAGTTATACTTTGTAAGGATCCTGCATGACATTACAATAGCCCTTTTGGCCATAACTGCTGTTTTGCCTGTCGGAAGACGTTGGTGTGCATTCCAAACCATACAGAGTAAATAGAGTTGTTAAGATATGTCAGCCTAGGCTGTAGGTGTAGCAGCATGACCGAGTACATGCTTTACATGCTTAGCACGCACAAGGCCCTGGCTTTGATCTCTAGCACTGAACCACTGAAAATGATTTTTTTTAAAAGGTCAGCCTACTGGCCACTGATAGTCGGACTAATTGACAATTTGTGTTAGTTTACAAGAAGACTCAAATTTGTTCCCTTTGCTAGAGATAAACCATATAGCGTGGCATAACCCGCCCCTCCTCCTTCAGTACAAGGATCCGCTCCCTACCCGTCAAAGGTTTTTTTCTAAGACGTATTAGAAATGTTACTGATTTTATGCATATTGGCTATTTTTTCCCTTTAAATTGTATTTTTAAACAAACTGGGTTGGGGATGTAGCCCAGTGCTTACTAGTGTAGACAGAGCCCTGGGTTTGATCTCAGCACAATAAATAATGAATAAGCTAATTAAAGTATAAATTACTAGAGGTCAGTTTATCTTTGTTGGGATTAGCAAGGTGGTTCAGCAGGTAAAACGTGCTTGCTGCCTACCTGATGACCTGAGTTCGCTCCCCAGAGCCTACATGGTGGAAGGAGAAAACTGATTGCTAAGTTGTCCTGTGACATGTGCACAGTGGCACACATGCAAAAGCAAACACTTTTTTTTAAAAAAAATCTTTGTCCTTTAATCCTTTACTACATCATGTAGTACAGCCCCCTAAAAGCCTAGTCTAAAAGTTGGATGTGTACATACCTGTAATCTCAGCTCTCAGGAGGCAGAGGCAAAAGGATTAGAAGTAAAAGCCACTTTCCTCTACATGGTGAGTCTGAGGCCAGCCAAGACTATGTGAAATTCTGTCTCATAAAGTAAGTAAGAGACTACAGTCTCAAAGAATAAAGCCATCACTATGAGGACTTTGACCTAACAACTAGGTTTGCATTTTGAGACAAGGAAAGTCTTATTTTACCCCACATTGGCCTAGAACTTGCAATGCTCCTCCTGCCTCTACCTCCAGGGTGAGATTATAGGCATATGCCACCAAACCTGGACTGCATGGCATGTTTTCTAAGGGTGTGTTTACTTTCTCATTTTGGGACATGGGACATACCTGAAGATGCTGGTAAGACTCAAGTTGGCTTATGATCAAGGATTGAATGCTTAAAGCCAATATTGATACCATGAAATGGTCTGGGCCCTGCTAGCAGCCCTCAAAGCCTATCTGCCTGACTCTAGTGTCGAAAAGCCTTAGGACCTCTTGTTTTTCCAGCCGAGTCTCCAGGTTTATGGGTTATAGATTAGCAAAATGGAGGGACCTACAGTACATTCAGTGTGTTTAACACTGGGGTGAGGCAGGGGATGCTACTGAAGACATGGGAGTAAGTCAGGAAGTTTGTTATCAAATACACAATTTAAATTTGAAAGAAACGGGGCCAGCAATAAGTATATAGAGAATTGTTTAAATCTGATCTCTTTGTTCTTTATATATTTGTTTACAGTAACTTTATTCATAATTTAAAATAACATAACCAAACAATCCAGAATATTTTAGTAAGCTGATGTTTAAACAGCCCGCAGCCTAGCTATTCCATAGAACACTCATCAGTAATAAAAATAATGGAATTACTGGTACATACAACAACCTGGATGGTTTCCCCAAAGAATCATGCAAGTAAGAAAAATAAAAGGTTGCAAATTAAATATTATAACATTTTTGAAATGACAAAATTATAGAAAGGCAAACAGGTTAGTGGTTTCCTGCAGTTGTTAAGGGGGAGGGAGGGAGTGTGATACAGGGTAACGTGAATAGGGTAACGTGAGGGATCTCCAGTGATGAAGGTCTTATGTAAAAGTCTTGACTGTACTAATATTGGTATCTTGGTTCTGACTGCATCACTATTATACTAATTTCTATGTTGTAGTCTACTATAGGTTTGTAAGACAATATCACTGGATGAAACAGTATACACGAAATCTGTTTCTGATGACCATATGCACCTACAATTACCCTAAAAGACTTAATGGTAAAGATTAAAGTGTTCTGAAGGTTGAGTTAGCAAGGAGAGAGGAGAGAAAGGAATTCTGCATGGATAGAAAAGTGCAACTAGGTCAGTAAAGCCTGAATGCAAGATGTGTGTTAGCCTGGGGAATGAGTGGTCAGGCAAGGCCAAATTCTAAAAGATACTGTTTAAGAACCAGGTGTAGTGGCTCACCCCTGTAATCCTAGAACTAGGGAGACAAAGGCTGGAGGGTCACCACAAGTTTGAGACCAGCCTGATCTACTTATTAAGTTTCATGGTGAGACCCTATCAAAAAAGAAGAGAAGCACTGAGGAAAATTCTTTTATGTCCAGAATTAACAGATTGTGACAATTACATGCTATTTATAAATTTAAAGATATCTAAACAGGGCTGGCAAGATAGCTCAGCACATTAAGAGTACTTTCTGCCAAACCTGATAACGTGAGTTCAATCTCTAAAACTCACAAGTGAAAGGAGAGAACCAACTCCTGAAAGTGTCCTCTGACCTTCACAGAAATACTCTGGTGCTTGTGCACACACACACAATAAGCTAAAAAAGTGTATCTAAACAAGGTCTGGGGGTGTAGCTTGGTTGTTAGTGTGCTTGCCTAATATGCAGGAAGCTCTGGGTTTGATCCCTAGCATCCCCTAAACTGGACAGTTGGTGAAGGCAGGAAGATCAGAAGTTCAAGGTCACCTTGTCTACATAGGGAGTTCAAAGTAAGCATGTGGTACAAGAGAACTCTGTCTCAAAGACAATCAGAACCAACCCAGACGACCTGAGTTCGATCCCTGGGACCCACATGGTGGAAGGAGAGAACCAACTCCTCCAGGTTGTTCTGTGACCTCCACACATATGCCCACATACACACGAAATAAATGTTTGAAGAAACCAGACCAAAAACAAAATATCCAAACAAAATTATTTGAAATGTGATTAGATGATCACTACTAATAAAACCATTGTAAAGTGGTTACTAGATATTGGGGGCTCGAGGTAAACAAGAAAGATCATTCACTCTATTACACAGAATGATGATTATAGTTAACATTTTATCAAACAGAAGAGGATTTCCAGTGTTCTCATCAAAGAGATGCTTCAGGGGCTGGAGAGATGGCTCAGCAGTTAAAAGCACTGGCTGCTCTTAAAACACAGGTTTGAACCCTAACCCTACATAGTGGCTAACAACCACCTGTTCCAGGGGATCTGACACCCTCTTCTGGCTTCTGTGGTGTGGCACTACAAGTACACTTAGACAAATTTAAGTATAATACTCATAAAATAAAAATAAATTTAAAAATTTCTTAAAGAGATGCTTCAAGCCAGGCTTGGTAGCATATGCCTTTAATCCCAGTACTCGGGAGCACAGGCAGACAAATCTCTGAGGTTGAGGCCAGCCTGCTCTACAAAGACAGTTCTAGGCCAGCTGGGACTACAGGGAGACCCTATCTAAAAAGGAGAAAAAAGAGAGTATTCAGATTTTTTTTTTCTTATTCAAGAAAAACTGATCTGATGCTTATAGAGTAGCCATACTTTGGAAGGAAACTAGACATAGGTACTACTATTATCCAGCGGGGACTAAGCTTATTTACCTTAGACACACCCCTTTCTAAGGCCTTCCCTTCTGTGCTTCCACTGGACCTAGACTCTGGATTCAGTTGATGGATATGTTCACATGCTGAGTTGATCAATGCACAATGAACATTCTGCCCTATAAACATAAGAAAGGGAGCCAGGCATGGTAGCACATGCCTTTAATGCCAGCACTGGGAAGGCAGAGGCAGGCAGATCCCTGAGTTCCAGGCCAGCTCAGGCTAAGAAAAAAGATCCAAAAGGGAGAGACTGGAGAGTTGGTTTAATGGTCAGTTACGAGCACTGGCTGCTCTTACAGAGGACCTGGGTTCAATTTCCAGCACCCACATGGTGGCTAACAGCTGTCCTAACTCCAGTTCCAGGGGATCCAATGCCCTCTTCTGACCTCCATGGGCACTGCGCAATACAGGTGCACTTACATACATGCAGGCAATACACTCATACACATAAAATAAATTTTTAAAAAGAAGAGAAAGGGAAAACTCCCTTTCTGTAGTTCATTATAGTGAGTTAAGCTGAAGCTTAAAAAACTATATAGCCAAACTATTACGATACAAAAGATTACATACAGTTTTGGACATAGCTTTATAAAGGAATGCATATGTACAAAAGTAAGATGTGTGCAATGTATGGGCTTTAATGAAAAGTCAAATAGTACGTAAAAGCCACTGTGTGACCACTGTATTAATGGTCTTTCAAGAGTTCTAAATGTTTGTTTGAGATAGGGTCTCCCTGTAGCCCCAGTTCACCTGGAACTTGCTATGTCAACCAGGCTGGCTTTGATCTGAGATCTGCCTGCCTCTGAAGTGGGGGGATTAAAGGCACCAACATGCCTAGCCCCCCCCCCAAATTTTAAAATAAACAAAGAAACAGAAAAATAACACCTTTACAATTTTTTACATATGCTGCTTTTATTCCAGAGAATAAAATACTGAACAAACTCTAAATCACAAAAGTTGAAACAAGCATCTGAGCCTCTGCACTGACTTTGAGGTAGGTACCTGCACGGCCACAGGTTCAGGAAGAGTCCTTCCTCCGGAGACTGAGAAGTGCAAGAGCCGAAGCTCCTGTCCTAGTCAGCACGAGGGGCATGTGGAACTGCTTCCTGTTTCATTCCCCACAAAGCTACTTAATGTCTGCTCCTGGGGCTGGATCACATTTTGTGACAGTTACAGTATGTTGTTAAAAAAAAATATCAAACTTGCTTTGATTTAAATGATATCTAAGCACAGAAGTATTACTATGATATTTAAAACACTATCTGCTTTAAATACTCTCAAATTCCTTTTGTATTTATCATCAGTGATCAGTAAAGATGATGTAAGTAGGTGTACAATTCTGAGATGTCAGTATGCCCTTTTCAGTTTAGTGAAACTTCACATTATACAGTGTTTCTGAATGATACAAACTTTGGTACAGAATATCTCTACCAAGAAAGCATTAGTAGTATTTTCAAATATCATAATGAAATTATTATAGCTAGAAATGTGTCAACAAGTGGAGAAGACATGCATAGAAAATAAAACCCTTTCAGAGAAAAAGACATTGCCTGTAGCCCACACAGAATGTTTTTCTTTTTTGAGACAGGGTTTCTCCCTTGTAGCTCCAGCTGGCCTGGAACTCCACATTGGCCTTGATCTCAGAGAGATTCACCTGCCTCTGCTCCCAAGTGCTGGGATTAAAGCACACACCACAACACCCGGCTCCACATTGAGTTTTTTTTCAGTCTTTTAGTAAGGAGAAAATGCATTTCCAGTCTGGTATAACAAGCACCTCAACAGTTTTTTCTGTTAATGACAAGCTGAAATGTCTTTTCATGGTATATGCCACTCTTAGTTGATTTGCAAGTGTACACTTAGGATTCAAGAAGCATTTGATGAATCATCTTTCTAGGGCTTTCCACTTCGAAGCACTCAAGCTCTTCCCAGTGAAGAAAAAATATATTATGAAAGACTTCGAAAGGATTCCAGTTTCTCTCCTGCTTCTCCTCAGATTAGCTTTCATGTCTACCCAAACATCACTAATTCAATTGTTAGGAAATAAAAATTTAAATTTAAAAAAAGGCTTTTGTCCATAGGATGGACACTGCATCTATGAAAAGGAAGGGGATGATATGCTACCTTTCTAATAAAATTTTCCTAAGGACAAAAGGAAAAATTAATCGAGAAATAGCATTAACCATGTTATTACCTAAATTGTTTCTATGATAAGCAACAGCTTTGTCATATGTCCACATTAGGAAACAAAAATTGGCGTTTCATTCAGAATCCCATTACTTAGGGGCTAATGTGAGTAACCTGGAATTTTCCCTACACACAGGAAGACTGACTGGCAGTGCCAATTACCAGATGACAAAGGGTCTTCTGGGCATCACCTCACACTCTTCTATGCAGCTAGTCACCAGTAAGAAATGCCAGAGTGAAGATCTCATAATGTTTGTGGTACTCATTCTTCTCAAACAGAAAACTACACGTTACATGCTTCTGTCATACCATCAGAAAACAACAGATTAGAGAACCTCCCTCTCCAGTCACCTCAGACAAGTGAAGTCATCTGAGCCATACATTGCCACCTACAAGACAGTATTTTAAATTTTCTGACAACAGACAAGTAATCAAATGTTTCCATGTTGTTGCTAGAGCTAACCCATAATTTGTCAAATCTAAATAGTGTTCTTAGTGCCTTCCTAGAGACCCTGATGTTAATAACATGAAGATGCTGTTTCCTCAGAAGTGCATCAGACTGCTGTATTACTCAAGTTCCTAAAACAAAACAATTTCAATTAACAAGCCACTTCTTTTGTTTTGTTTTGAATTTCATTTATCTAGAGAGAGAGAGCGAGAAATGTGTATGTGTGTGTGTGTGTTTGTGCGTGTGATGTGTACATGCCACAGTGTACATGTGGAAAGCATGACAATTTGCAATTTGCAGGAAGTTTGTTCTCTCTTCCACCATGTGGGGATGCAGGGGGATCAAGCTGAGATTGTCAGGCTTGGCAGCAAGGGTCTCTACCCATTGGGACATCTCACTGGCTCTGTTTTGGTTTGTTATTGTTTTTGAGACAGGGTCTCATTCTAGCTTAAGCTGACCTAGAACTCATTATGTACCCCACGCTGACCTTGAACTTGGGGCAATCCTCCTACCTCAGCTCCTTGAGTGCTGAGGATTATAGGTATAAAGCTACCACAATTGGCTACAAGTTAAATTTATATCTGCTTCTATAAAAAGGCAAAACTCTTGGTTAAATGTCATAACTGAACATATCAAAAGTGCTTCCTAGAGATAAGTGTTTTTCATTTTGTTAATTCTCTTATTGATCAAAGTGCTCCTCCATAACCTGAAAATGTAGTCAAATTATAAAATTCAAGTTTCTTTCATTTTTAGCTGATCACAATTATACCCAAATGAAAATGCAGAGCTTTTCCAAATTCACAAAACTTAGCTAGCACTAAAGAGACACTGACTTTTCCTCAGTATCACAGACTATTTTACTGTAACAAAAATATCCAGATGTTTCAGTTCTGCATTATAGAGTAGGTACCCACTGAGGATGATGAACGGAATCAACTGTCCATTTAACACTGTACTATGTATCTAATTAAGCTAAGTAACTTGGGGGACAGACAATGACAAAAGTTCCCTTTTCAATTGATTTCTTATTTTTCCAGATACTTTACAGACAACACAGAATTGAGATAAAACTGAAGGATCACTGTAAATTTGATCTTAACATTAGAACCTGAAGATTCCAAAGATTAAAAATTCCAGTTCTATACTGTTAGGCATTTGTCAAATGATAACCAAATGTTTTAAGCTTGTAATATTTGCATGATTTACACTGCCATTGGTTTTTTTGTTTGATTTTATACATTAATCAGATATTCTAGTAAACACATCTTTTCATCTGGTTAGCCTCTGTGTTATCACCTCTCGATACATAATGGAGATGTAGATAAGCAACAAAAAGATAACAAAGAAGTCGTCTAGAAAGCCTAGAATTCCAAACAAGGCTTCAGGTAAAAAATCTAGCGGTGATATTAAATAGAAAAAAGCTCCCATTAAACAAAGTATTATCCTAATTCGGAACATCCAGAAAAGACCCCCGACTGAAAACACTTCCCTGAATGCATGTCTCAGTAAAGTGGGCAGATCCATGATTCTTTCTATAATCTGGAGGAAGAAAAACAAATACAATGGTTTAGCATCTAATATGTCAGATAAAAAACTAATACAATTTTCTTACAATGTGAAAACTCAGCTAAGATGAATTAAGGAGTTTTACACATTGAACACCACATTTTAAAATTATGCATTTTATTTAAAAATAGTTTACTTACTAGGGTCTTACAAAGCAGATCTTACTATAGACAACTGAAAAGCAATTAAGTATCAACATGCTTAAAATGTGGGATATGAATTAAGGATAGCTTGTCTGAAAATCTGATACCCCAAATGCTACATAATTTGAAGTGTTGTGAAATATGAAATGCTTCAAAATCCAAAACTTTTAGAACACGTCAAATCTATCACATTTGGGAGGCTCTTTTTGTAAAATCTATACAAACATTACAAAATCTGGCAACTCTGAAGTTTGAAACTTCTGGTCCCAATCTTTGAGGTAAGTGATTCTAAACTTGCAATTATGCAAAATTCAAGTCATCACTAATCCAAATTAACAAAAGAAACCAAGTAACTTATAGACCAGGTATGGTGGTTCATACCTGTAATCCCAAAACTCAAGAGGCTGAAGCAGGAGGATCACCAATAGTTGAAGACCGGTCTTGCCTGATCCCTTACAGGTACACATTCAACCACACCCCCACAATTTTAAATAATCTTTTTTAAAAAGTAGGATGTTAAGTCAGACATAGTGGTGTACACCTATAATGCCAGTACTTATAAGGTGGAAGCTAGAGGATCTGAAGATTAAGCCCAAGACTTGGTTACCTGAGACCATGTCTCCATGAAACAAAAAATAATAAAATAAAACTAGGATATCTTAGCCAAACCTTGCACTGTAAGCACAGCTGCTTGAGAGGCTAAGGCAGTAGGACTGCAAGTCCGAGGCCAGCCCAGACCACAGAATGACTTCAAGATCAGCCTGGGCAACTGAGGGAGATCCTCAAAAAAGTTTTAAAAAAAGGATGGGGATGGGGCTGGAAAAATGGCTCGGTGGTTAAAACTGCCTCCTCCTCCTCCTCCTCCTCTTCTTCTTCTTCTTTTTTTTTTTTTTTTTTTTTTTTTTTTTTTTGGCTAGTTTCTCTTTTACAAGGCATTTATAATGTTTTGTTTGTTTTCTCTTTAAAACAAAAAACATTAGCCAGGCATGGCAGTACACACCTTTAAAGCCAACACTAAGAAGTCAGAGGCAGGCAGGTCTCTCTGAGTTTGAAGACAGACTGGTCTGCATAGGCAGTTCAAGGCCAGCCAAGGCTACAGAGACCCTGTTGAGAGGGAGGGGGGGAGAGGGAAGAGGGGGAGGGGGAGAGAAACACAAAAACAAACTACAGTCCTTGAGAAAGGTGTAACTCAGTAACTGGCACTCACACTTGACCCAGCACACATAAGTGCACCTGTGTGTGCAATGCCTGTGGAGGTCAGAAGAGGGAGTCAGGTCTCCTCCAGCTGGAGGTACAGATGGTTGCTAGTCATCATGTGACTGCTGGGAACTGAACCTGGTCCTCTGCAAGAGCAGCCAGTGCTATTAACTGCTGAGCCATCTCTCCAGCCTCCATAATGAGACTTTTTATAGTCAAAGAACACTGGCTGGAAAATCTCACTTTACAAAAAAGAAGTCCAAGGGCTCTCTCTGACTTTGCCTTGCTATTACTTACAGATCTAGGCTGTCCTGAGAATCTCCGGTTATAATCATTAACATCTTGACACAATCTTAGAGCATCCTGAGAGTGATCATCTTCACCGAACACTGTCAGGAGTAGAGTTACCTGTGTGTTACAGGAAAAAGCTGTTACACCTGTGCACCATCATTGCTTTCACTTTCTAGTGTTGAAGAGAATGAGAACACTGCTGAATAGACACTGTGTTCATCCCTCTGAGGCAGCTTGGGGGGACAAGCAATTACTGCCTTACACAAAACTCCATACAAAATGTAATTTGAATTCCTAATGCTTGTTCTGATATTCTCCTGTCTACACCAGGGATATCTGAATATATAAGGATGATGAGAAAGCATTCAGTAACAAAGTAACATCAAAAATATATACCTATCTATGCTGAGTGCGGTGGCACATGCGTTTAACCCCAGCATTTTCAGAAAGAAAAAAAAGGCATTTCTGCTTTGGTATTAAAATAATGATTCCTTGCCAGGCATGGTCATGCACGCCTTAATCCCAGCACCTGGGAGACAGAGGCAGGCAGATCTCTCTGACTTCAAGGCCAATTGGGGTTACAGGGAGACCCTGTCTCAAAAAGACCAAAAACATAAATAAAATAATGACTCCTTATTCTCATTCACTTTTGACATGCCTTTGAATGCTATCTTAATATAGAAATTGTGATATGGTAAGGCCCTACTCTGAAACACCAATGTCTATTGTAATAAGCAGGTATAATAAAGTTTAGCCTTGCTTCTTCTATGGCCATGGTAAAGAGGGTTAGTGTCAGACTGCCTCAGGACCACACAGGGATGATCTGAGGTGACAGGACTGTGAAAAATAAGTATGTCTGAAAATATAACAATCTTTAACAAATGATCATTAATGAATATTATGATGAGATAAAATGGGAAGGAATAGGAACAGGTTCAGTTTTAAATCATTCTAGATACTTTTTCCTTCCTCAGGCCAAGGAAACCAGGGCTTCCCATCAGTCAGATGTTTTCTAAACAGTTATATGAAGGAATGACTAAGCACAATATGTGGTATAAACAGTAGATACGGTCCTCTATTCCTTCACAGATCTGTTAATAAAAATGTAGACTTTGAAATAAAGTCATAATTCTAAGTCTTCAGCAGTGCTAGCCCTGTATGTCAAGGAGAGATAAATTGAATCTTTAAGAAACTTATTCTTCATGGCATTTTTCTTCGTGTAGTTGTTCTTTTTCATAAGCTAATACAAAACTTCTGGAGCTTGAATTGTTAAAAAAAAAAACCTCAGTCTTTCAGTAAATACCAGTTGAACATGTACTGTAAGGTGGGTAGTGTTAGTGCCATGATGCATGGAAAAAAAAAAAAACACAACCCTGCTCCTGAATGACCTCAATATCTACCAGAGAAGGATGGCGAGGCAGAGCTGTTCCACAGATGCTATATGGCACTGAAGGTGGTGGTATAACCATGTATGAGAATAAAATTGTCTGGGATGTCCAGAAAGCTTGACATACAAGGCAAAGTACTGAAATGTGGGCAGGAGTGTTTGGTATGCTAATAAAGACAGAAAAGTGGTGAGTCTGCTCCAGTCAGAGACAGCAGCTTGTACATTGCTGTTTCCATGACCATTTGCTAAAGGAGCCAATGAAATAAGAGGTACAGCAGTACTTCCTGCCTGACTTGCCTCCAGGATGAATGACTGTAATTGTGGAACCAATCGCTGCCATATAAAGACAGCTTCATCACCTCACTAGTCTCTACTTAGGTTTCAGGTCCTACAATACAAACTTGCCTATGGAAAGCAATAGGCAGAGTCAAGAAGAGGAGATGGATGGTGGGGCCAATTCTTCAGTTTGATATACTGTTTGTTCTCCATGTATCCAGCCAATGGCAAAACATAGGAAGCACTACTGGCACATCAGCTAAGGCAGACTGAATGCCTGTGACACCAAATTAGCCACAGAAGTAACGAGAAAAAAATCAGTTTTCCTTCTGACCATGAGAGAAAAAGAAAAAAAGAGAATGAGACAGGGTTTGGGACTATAAAAACAAGAAGAAAGGAACCAGGTGTGGCGGCGAACGCCTTTAATGCCAGCACTTGGGAGGCAGAGGCAGGCGGATCTCTGTGAGTTCAAGGCCAGCCTGGTCTACATAGGAGTTCCTGGCCACCTGGGGCTACAGGGAGACACTGTCTCTTGTCTCAAAAACAAAACAAAAGAAAGGAAAAGCATTCCCAAGAGTGGAAATGAGCTAGTAATCTGAGGAAAGAGCCCAAAGAGCAGAAAAAGAAGAGGGCAGGAAAGTGGGGAAAGACAGCTAAAACAAAGACTGAAAGGCATAAGCATGCTCTAAGAGTGCTTACTCTGTGGGTCACTGACGAAGTTCAAACAGAACAGGGCAAATTAAATGTCATTTAAAAAGGTAAAACAGTTTTTTCTAAAAGAGAACTGTATATAAGAGAGAACTTGCTACCATGTGATTATCTAGTTCATTTATTCCTTTGCTTGTCGTACAACAAAGACTTATGAATTAGGAAGAAGTCCTTTATTACTTGTTTTTCACTAGAACTGTAGGATTTCAAATAGAATTCCCTTTGCTGTGGTGCCTTAGTGATTTTCTAAAAATATTTTAAGGGCTGGAGAAATGGCTCAGTGGTTAAGAGTACTGACTACTCTTGCAAAACACCCAGGTTTGAATCCAAGCACCTATGTGGCAGCTGTCTATAACTCCAATTCCAAGGGATCTAACACCCTCTTCTTGGCCTCCAAGGGCAATACGTGACATGACATGGGTGCACTTACATACATGTAGGCATAACACTCATACACATAATTAAAAAAAAATTTAATATATATTTTTAAATAATTTAGTGAAGTCACAGACACACTAGATAAATGGAGTTTGGATAAAAAATATTTCACAACTTAAATACAAAAGCTGCTAATATTTACAAAACTTATTACTGTAAATGATGTTTTTTTGGATATAAAACAGTACCGTTTGTCTACAGATTGGACAACTGATTGCACCAAGCCATGACCCATATCGCCAGTATGCAATAATGCAGGCACCTAGTGGAAAAAAAGAGAACATCAACACTCAAGTTTTAAAGTCTTCATATCCTGACAAAGTTTCAACTATTTAATAACATTACTTTTTTTTTTTTTTTTGGTTTTTTTGAGACACGGTCTCCCTGTAGCCCCAGCTGTCCTGGAACTCACTAGTTGTCTACAGATTGGACAACTGATTGCACCAAGCCATGACCCATATCGCCAGTATGCAATAATGCAGGCACCTAGTGGAAAAAAAGAGAACATCAACACTCAAGTTTTAAAGTCTTCATATCCTGACAAAGTTTCAACTATTTAATAACATTACTTTTTTTTTTTTTTTTGGTCTTTTTGAGACACGGTCTCCCTGTAGCCCCAGCAGTCCTGGAACTCACTATGTAGACCAGGTTGGCATCAAACTCACAGAGATCTGCCTGCCTCTGCCTCCTGAGTGCTGGGATTAAAGACATGTGCTACCACACCCAGCTAAAAAAATATTTTTACTTATTTTTTTGTGTATGAGTATATTGCCTCCATGTATGTAAGTGTACGTGTGTCATGCAGTGCCCATGGAGGTCAGAAGAGGGTGTCAGATTCCCCTGGAACTGGAATTATAGACAGTTGTTAGTCACCATGTGGGGCCT